ATAACATGCCGAAGAAATACCAATTCAGAAGTCAAACAACAAAAATCAGCGTTAATTTACAAATTTTCACAGGACTAGTTTCGATGGTTTTACCGAACCATCATCTTCAGCTGCAAAACCGCAAATGAACAAGATAGGAAATAATGATTAGATAAGATAAGAAAGCCTGGACAAGAATAAGCAAGTGGCGCCATCTGTTGGCGAAACCAGAACTAAAACATAATTTCTCTAAAAGCCGAAGGCAAATTTGGATTGGAATTAGGATCGTTAACTAGAATAGAAAGATTTTTATGAATGTGAAATGCCATTGGAGAAAATTCCATTGGAGAACTGGATTTTCTAGAGGCATTTCACATTCATAAAAATCTTTCTGTTCTAGTTAACGATCCTAATTCCAATCCAAATTTGCCTTCGGCTTTTAGAGAAATTATGTTTTAGTTCTGGTTTTGCCAACAGATGGCGCCACTTGCTTATTCTTGTCCAGGCTTTCTTATCTTATCTAAACATTATTTCTTATCTTGTTCATTTGCGGTTTTGCAGCTGAAGATGATGGTTCGGTAAAACCATCGAAACTAGTCCTGTGAAAATTTTGTAAATTAATGCTGATTTTTGTTCTTTGACTTCTGAATTAATATTACAAAATGTCAAACGTTTAGCAAAAATCAATTCAAAACAGAGAAATTAATTCTATCTCACAGCGAAATCGTTACAAATCAATCACAGCATTAAGTAAACAAACAGTTCGCTAAAACTACAGCTACTACTGAGATGAGTTGTTTGTTCTCGGCTTTTATAAGCTTTATAATTAATTTCTCGAATATACTGGAAACATCTATAAATATCTGGATTTTTGTGGATGGCAACAGCAATTATGAGATATTTATTTATTAGGTATTAAATGCACGCGCTGTTCTATTTTTAACCTTCCAATGCAGCTGTCTTTTCAAAAATCGTCTGCGTTGCTAAGGCAACATGAAGCAAATCTAATTAGAATTCTAAATAAAAAAAAAAAACTAAATAAATAAATAACTATGAAATCCGTAACAATATGAATTAAGTAATAATTAATAATAAAGCAAAGTGCATGCACCAATATATCGTACAAAACTATGATTAGAAAACTGAGACCATGAGTTCGGCCACATTCGGCTATTGGGGGATGCGTACAAGTTCTGAGTGCACGTGTCCCCCAAAAGCCGAAGGTAGCTGAACGCAAGCTACTCGCACGCATTTGTAATTTAAGTATTGTGTGTGTCAGCTCGCTGTGAGTAATCTAACAACACTGAATAAATTATTGTTAATTATTTAGCAGTAAACATTTCATTTTTTTCTTCGTCGATATGTTATTTTATTATTATATATTATTATTTGCTTATATATTGGCCGGGCCGCAAAAATACTTGTTGTGGGCCGCGAGTTTGACATCCTTGGTGTAGTGTACATGAAGAGAATAACAATGTGTTTTTTCAAATGTGCCATATCCTTATTTAACAAAAAAAAAAAAAAAAAAAAAAAAAAAAAAAAATGTGCTTTAAATTGCTAAATTTTTTCTTTTGGCATATTGATAGAATATTGCTGATTAGTATCAATAGTTTGGCCATCTTTATTAAGAAAAGTCTATAAAATTACCAATTTGCACCCTATAAATAGCTTACATTTTTTCGAATTTGTATAATTATTATGCATATGTTTAGTTAAATTATAGAGAAGTACTCTCTGATTATCTGCCATATTCTGAAAAGAATCACCTGGGCAAAGGCTATGTCGCCAAAGTAGGCAACCCAGAATTTTACAAAAATGTACTTATCTGGCAACCCAGTAATGTTTGCCCTTTGAAATTGGAGTATATTTGTGATTTCTGAAAGTGTTGGATTTTTTTCAGAAATATGGCATTTTGCCTAATAGCAGAGAGTGTAGGAATGTGCATTCTATGAAGTTAATTTGTTCAATTCTCTTGATTTGTTTAAAAAGTTAAACCAGATCAACATATACATGGAGAGAATGCCGAGAATTCTGCAATCTCTGATTTTTTAAAAATTAATACAGATCACTGTGCACATGAGCAGAAGACTGAGAAAAATGAAAGTTAAGTGTTTTGTTATGAATGTTTGTTGAGTTTTAAAATTTAGTTAATTTATTGCTGTTTCACTTAATTTTGAGTGTTTTGTAATGGATGTTTCATTAATTTTGGTTTTCCATTTTTATTTCATTAATACGTTGCTACTTCTATTTTTAATTTCGTTAGATCATTGCTATTTTATGTAGATTTCATTGCACCACCATTTTTTAAAATGGCTCTTATGTTTTATATCTTAGGTTGGTGGAATATTAGTTGCCAACGATTGGCAACTTTGCAGGATGGTTGGTGGTTAATCAGAGAGTATGCTTAGGTATTATACAGTTTTCTACATCGATGCAAAAAAGCAATTTTTAATCCACTTCAGAGTCCATTGCTCCTCTTCCTCCTTAGTCAATGCGTATGGACCTAGATTTTCATTCTTAACCCTTTCAGGATGGGCGTCCCATATACACATTCCCTAAGAACGTCTCTTACAGCCGGGCGTCCCATCCACGCATCAGTAACGATCGCTTTCACATCCTGTGTCCATTAATTTTGAAATGAACACAGTTTTAGGTTTCTGATCTTGAGTTTGATATATTCTGCTTGACATTGGTATTTTACTCATCAGCTGTTCGAGGGGGGGGGGGGGGAGGGAAAGAGTAAACAGATGTGGGCTCTTTAAATCGCTGCGTGCTAATGAAAACATTCTCGTATCTGATTTATATCCAATTCCTTCTTTTATTTTATTTTTCCCATCTACTATGTGCAGTCTTTTAGGGTTACTGTGTGGAGTTTTTTTACGTTTTGCATTGCCTTCAGATATATTTCCGTTCCTTCTTTTTTATTTAGGAAAGCCTCACCTCCAGTATATTATGGCGGGAAGGTGCTATTTATCAGAGGAAGAATACCCTTGTGTAGTTAGTAAACCATTTACTAATGCAAATGAGAGTATTGATTCATTTTCTAAAGAGTTAAAAAGTGATACTTTTTCTTACAAAGTGATACTTCTCTGTGCTTCGAGATTTACCACACTCATTTTCATTGTAAATTTTGTTACTTCTTACTGTAATAAGTCTTTATTGTGTTCTTTTTATTAATTTTAAACTTTATTGATGGATTTTATCAATTCAAACTTTGGAATAATTTGAATAGCGCTTCCGAAAATTATTTTAGAAGATAAGCAATTTTTTAAGTGTATTTTCATGTAAAATAAAGAAAAAAATGTTTTAAGGGCTAATTTTAACATATATTACAGCTCAAGTAATAATCTAAAATGATACCAAAAATTACGATGCTAGAAGCAAAACTTTTGTTTTTCTGATTTTTGTTATAAAATTAGGCTTAGCGATGCAAAACCTCTGTCCTGTACGGTGACTGCCTTCGATTCTCTTCCGTCCCACACGAGCGTTTTAAACAAAGGTGCGCTGTTGCGAAAAGGTTAAAATATGATAACCCTATCATTAAATAATTAATAGATTGTCAGATGTAGTATTCAGATATTATATTGCATTCATATTCTAATAAATGAAAGTTATATAGTTAGAAGTAAGTAACTGTACTGTGCTATAGAAACAAACTTTGATACACTGAAGAGTGCATTAGGTTTCTTCTGTTGTGCTTTTTTCGTTTATTGTCTGATGGAAGGTTTGCTGAATTTAAATTTAAAATGAAGTGATGCCATGGTCTGTAATAGGAAAGAAAAAGAAGAAATATATACATATTAATGTGTTTAGCATTTGAATTAAATAATTCTACTTTTCTCATTGGGGAACATTTTAATGTCTAAATTGTGTAAGGAACATTAAAATAATTAAAAGATTAAAATTCCTCTATAATTAGAACATTTAAGTATATCTTCTTTCTTGTGTGTTACACAAGTTGCACTCAATTTCCATTTCTTGGGTATCATTTCATGATCCCATATTACCTGTATTAAACCATACAATTTCTTAGTAATTTCTGTTGTTTTTCAATAACTCCACCGGAATAGCATCAGGACCACTTGCTTTATTACCTTTAGCTTGTTAATTCCTTTAACAACTTTTTCTAATGCCATTCACAAATTACTAAATTCTAAATGCTACACTGACATTAATTATCTAGCATAAGAAGCAAATCAACTTTTGCAAAATTATAACTATTCGCTGGAACAGTAAGAAAGAAGCATATTTTGTATATCTAATCTGTCTACCAGACTAGCTGATAGGTGGCCCTAAAAATTGAGGAAATTTTGAAATAAAAGTCTGTTATCTGGTCAAAAAAAAAAAAAAGCTGATATAAATTCTTCCACAACAGTGAATGTTTGGTACCTAGAAACTGGAGAATTCTTTCTCATTCAGATTCCAAACAGAGAGATAGACATAACCACAGCAAAAATCGTCAACCATGTATGAGGTAGATTAATATTTAATTCAGACTATTAGGGAGTGTATAAAACAGAGGAACTGGAAAAATCAGATTCAGGCCATTTCAATGTTAACCATTAATTTTATTTTATTTAGCCAACAATAGCTGCTTATACACAAAATGTTAGACAGTGTGTTCCACTAAGAGGTGAAATGAAGAGATGAAGTGCAGCTCACCATATCTTGCCTTACCTTGCAAAGCTCATGTGGCAGAAGTCTTTGGAACGGGAAAATGCTTATGATGCCATGTTAGAAAAGCCATCATAAAAATATGACAGCCACAAACTATGTGTGAGAAGTAAACTTGAATTTGGCGATTAACATGGTGTCATTTAAATAACAAGGGCCATAATAATAAGAAGGTACTTAAATTGTATTTGCTTTATTAGGATTGCCGAATTTTAAAACTATTGATTTATATTGATGAGTTGCTGAATTTTTATTTATCATTTGCCTCAGGCTATAACACACAGGTTTCAATATATTTTATTTTCTGTGTTGATTCTTTGTATTCACTTTCCTTCTTCCTTTAGCATATTGGAGGAAGAAGGTTTGGGACAACGAACCTTTGAAAATGTTGCTACTAACTTCCACCATTCTTTCAATAAACAAGATCATTTTCGAGTTGGCTCATCTTTAGTAAGTATTTACTCTATATTTTTTTACTTTTCATGACATTTGACATATTACTCTTTCTCATAAAAATAACTGATTTCCAAAAATTAAGGAAAAATCATAAAAATAGTGATAACTCATTCAAAAATAACTTAATCCATATAAAATTTGAATATGATATCAAATAAGAATTGCTGGGTAAAACTACAGTACACAAATTTGTGGAATTGCAGTCAAAATGCATCATCTGTGAGGTGTATAAAATTATGTGTTTCAGAGCAAGCCTGTGAATTTTGCTGTGGTACTGAAATAAGAAATCTGAGATAGCCAATTTGTAACAATGACCTCCATGCATCATTTGTCCGAAGAACTGTGACAAAGAGCTGTTGGGAGAATAGGCAGGACAAAAACAGACAGAAGTGGCCAGATGGCTAAATGCGAGTCCTTGTGTGGTTCATAAACTTTGGCAACAATATCTAACTACAGATTTAGCATCCAAGAGGTTCAGCCAGAGATGGCCAACACTAAGACGAGTGCTGATGTATATTTGTTGTTCTGCGCACGAAGGTATAGTATCTTGGTTCCGACTTGACTCAGATCCTCCCTTCCTGCAGCTACTGGAAGGTTGAGGTCAGTGTCAACTATGTGTAGAACTCTTCACAAAGGAGGTTTTTATGCAAGGTGACCAGCCATTTGAGGTGGGCACGTCATCAGGTCCACTGGACAGGTGATCAGTGAAGGGCTGTTCTCTTTACAGATGAATCCAGGTTTAGCCTCCAAAGTGATAGTAGGTGTTATTTGATTTGGAGAGAACCTGGAAACTGTTATCATACATTAAACATCCATGAAAGAAATGCATATGACAGAGGCAGTGTCTGTGTTTAAGGTGGTATCTCTTTGGGTGGATGCACAGACCTCCATGTCTTTCCACATGGAACTTTGAATGCTCATGTCTATAAAGATGACATCCTAGATGCTTATGTGTGCAGTTATGCCAGAGCAAGAGGTGATAATTTCCTGCTACAGGACAACAATGCTAGACCACACAGGCATCGCATCATGGATGAATATCTTCAGCAAACAATTCAGTGCATGAAGTGGCCAGCTCAATCACCGGACCTGAATCCTATCACGCATGTTTGGGATGCTTTAGTAAGATGTATAACTGCTCCCAATACTCCTCTTCAGACCCTTGCCACACTTTCAACTGCTTTGCAAGAGAAATGGCGCTCTCTTCCTACGGAACTGATAGACTGCATAATTGATAGCATCGCTCATCATTGTATCTATTGTAGTCCCTCTAAGGGAGATCATACTCCATTTTGATGGTAATTGTCCTGTACCAAACTGACACCATAATTTTCTAGTAATTTCTTTTCATATTATTTTATACGATACTGTGTGTGCTGTATGCTGTGGGTCAATTTCATTAAGTTCTACATGTAACATTTTAAGTAATCTTCATTTATGTTATTTTTCTGTAGTTAATGATAACCAGTGTATATACTCAGGGATTATTTTAACATAACAATTTTTAGGAATACTTTTGAATTTATCAGTGAAAATTAATAAAAATATTACTGTGATAATTGAGCTTTGTTACATTATCTAATATTGTTTGGTAAGGGGGAAAAATGTAGGAAAGTTATTTAATTTAAATCAATTGGAACTAGCTTGTGGTATCCAGTTTTATAATTACAGTAAAAGCTCAACTAGTTTATAATTACAGAATAATTATAATAATTTATAATCCAGTTTTATAATTACAGAAAGCTTGAGAAATGCTAGATTCTGGATACATAAAAATTTTGAGTAGTTGAGCATATAAAAAATTGAATTCACGTTAGAAAAGTGAAATCTATCAGAAAAATTCCACTCGTAAAAGTCTAAATACTGTCATTTTATTTATTAAGAACTTTAATATCGGAAGCCTACATTTAAAATTTTATGAGATATTTTTGAAAAAAAAATTTCTTTCATAAAAGATGACATATTTTGATTATTATGAAATCTTGCCAAGCATGGAATTTGGTGAAAATGTCAACAGTCATTTCAGTAGAAATTTAAATGAACAGAGCGTTTTTTATTCATTAGATAATAAAGAAAAACAAATGGATATGTTACATCATCATCGTTTGTCCATTTTCAAAATCATTTATCCTAAGTTTTTTTTTTTCTTTTTAAATGCCTGAATCCTGTAACTCTAAACACTGAACTTCATTCAGATCCAAATAATATTTTTTTCAAAATGCAAGGAAAAATTAGAACTAATATCCTTCTTTGAAAAAGTTAAACCAGCGTTTAATTTTTTCAAAGAAGTTTTAAAAGTTTTTTAATTAATTGTTTTAATTTAACGTTAAATTAAAACAATTATTATTTTACTTTGGCATCATGCTTATCCCTTATTCACATTGAATTGCAGTGATAATGCATATGTCTTGATATATTAATAATATTATGAGCTTTATGATGATGTTACTAATGTCTCATTTAAAGAAATTTTTTAGGGGAAAAAGTTTTCTAAAATTCTTAAATATTCTGGTTATTTTGAATGCCAGATATTTGGGCTTTTACTGTAATACAATTTGTATATTAATGAGATAAAATAAGTAATTGTGGTACTTATCTTCTGTAGCAGCCTTAGTGAAAGAAAATGTTGCCATGTTTCAGACTTAGTTTAGTCTATATTTTAGGGTTGCACTTGGATTATGACCAAGTTGTTGTTTCATTTATTGCCAAGTTGTTACAATTTTGGTAACCTGAATAGTTGAATTTTATGGAAACAATATTAAAACCTGATTGTTTCATGACTGCAGTGAATTTGAGTGATGAGGTAAGGGCTTATTTATGTGTTGAATGTTGGTTAGGAAGTACGTTGCTTGTTTTGTGCTTTACATTGTAAAATGCCTACTGGTGGTATGATTAACCTGAAGTTGCTGTACACTTTAGAACAATTGGAAAAGAAAACATTGATTGACTGGTGTGTAAATGAAGATTTAAAGGGCTTTATTCACTTCTCGGTAAAGGTGTAATAGTGTAAAAGTAAAAGCAAAGGTGTAATAGTGATTTTTGAAGGAAGTGACAGTCCTGCAGTATGGAGAATATTTTCCATTTTTAGTTTTGTGAATTTATGTGGCAACAGCAGTATACAGATTCTAATTCAGATAATTTTAAATAGTTTTTGGATGCTGTTAAGGAATTTTGTGTCTCGCATACCGAAGAAACAAATTTTTTAATAAGTTGATATTTCCTTTTTATTGGGAGAGTGTTCTTGGAGCCACTGGGTAGCTACTTTCGACATGTAAGGTGTCGTATTGTCCTGCTGGAAATGATCAAGTCCGTTGGAATGCATAATAGACATGAACGTGCACAGGTGATTGGACAGGATGGTTATGTATCTGTCACCTCATAGAGTCATACATATCAGGGGTCTCGTATCTACCAACTGCACATGCCCATGCCATGACAGAGTCTGTTGACATGTAGGGTACATGGATTCATGAGGTTGTCTCATACATATCCATCTGCTCCAAACAATTGGAAACGAGACTCGTCAGACCAGGCAACATGTTTCCAGTCATCAACAGTCCAATGGCAGTGTCGGCGAGCCTAGGTGAGGCAAAGCTTTATCTGTCATGTTTAATCATTCTAGTCAGTTGTCGTTGGTCCAGTGTTTTTTTCAGGAGCTTTTTCTAGACATGGCAGTGTCAGAGATTTGATGTTTTACCAGATTCCCGATATTCACAATACATTGGGGAAATGGTCATATGCAAAAATCCATATTTTATAGCTATCTCTGAGGTACTATGTCTCGTTGCTTGTGCGCCAACTATAACACCAGGTTCAAACAACGTACCATTATAGCAGGAGGAACAGAAAACAATGTTCCTAAACATTTGTTGTTTTATACATGTGCTGCCAACCACCATGCATTACTTTGATTAATTCTGCACCTGTGTTATTTGCATATATGATCGCCTATACCAGTTTTTTTTGCTCTTTTGTGTATTTTTATTATTTATTATTTGGTGTATATTTGTGTATTAAAATAAAGACCAACACAAAATACATAAAAATGATGTGTGCATATTTTTACAAGGAAGAATGTGAATTATATATTAAATAATAATTTTTATGTTTTATCTTCATGTTGATTTTATATTAATTAATATTGATAAAGTAACTTAATTTTAACTGCTGACTGCCTTAAGAGGTTAGATGCAAAAATTAAAGAAAAATTAGAAAATTGTGCTGTAAAATACTTTTATTCATCATATTAAAATATTATTTTGTGAACAACATAATAAAACATGATTTTGTAGCTGCTTTAGGTTTTACATTGTGCAATAACTCCAAACAGTCCAACCACATGCATAGCCAATTGAAGTGAGTCATGATAAATTTCACTATGGTAAAACTCCATAGGGTAAAACTCCACTTATATATTAATAACTGAAAGGTGAAAGATAAGGTTAGTCTTAAGTAACCACCAGATTATTTCATTTGAATTAATTTCTTAATCCTGCAAAGTAATAAGAAAAGTGTAGGTTTATTTACTAACTTCCACTATACTGGAGATTTAAATACAGAAAATCAAATACACAGACTGTATAATAATACAAATAATGTAATAATACAATAATACAGACTGCATAATCTATATAATAATACAAAAATTACGAATAAAATTTCCCAAACCTTTTCTAAGTTAAATCCTTGGTGAACAAAGGAATTAACTGTTCAAAGGGAAAAAGGTAAGGGTGTTGAAATGAAGCTGTAAGAGTATGGCTTGAAACGAGTCAGAGAGAAATAGATTACACATCATTTACAGAAAAGAAGAAGCATTTTTTAAGCATAATATTCTTAAAGCCAAGGTTAATTCTTGGAATAATTTTTCGGAAACTATTTCTTCCAAGTCGCCATTTGGCACTTACTACAATTTGGTGCCACCCAGACAGTACAGTGCTTAGGAGGCTGACTGCGATACCAAATTGCCCAAATTTGAAGCTTGGAGAAGACATGGA